CTGGGGCTGAGGTATGGGAACTCAGTGCCAGGTATAAGGAGTAAAGATGCTCATAGTGTAGTATGTTTTAAAATTATTTATTAAATCCAATACGTAAAACCAAAGGAGTTACAAAACACATGCCTGCAGCCTGTAGCCAGTATAAGCAGCTTGAAAAAATAATTCTATACACTGACCAGTGAAAACCATAGGTGGGCCGCCGGACCTCCTGACCCCGCGGCGTAACGTCAAGGCATGCGAAGGCTCCTCCTAGACGCGTTTCGTGTTAATACACGTCTACTGTAGGGGTGATGCCCAGGCATGGCATCACCCCTACAGTAGACGTGTATTGACACGAAACGCGTCTAGGAGGAGCCTTCGCACGCCTTGACGTTACGCCGCGGGGTCAGGAGGTCCGGCGGCCCACCTATGGTTTTCACTGGTCAGTGTATAGAATTATTTTTTCAAGCTGCTTATACTGGCTACAGGCTGCAGGCATGTGTTTTGTAACTCCTTTGGTTTTATGTATTGGATTTAATAAATAATTTTAAAACATACTACACTATGAGCATCTTTACTCCTTATACCTGGCACTGAGTTCCCATACCTCAGCCCCAGCATTTTTAGGTTCTCTGTGTGGATCCAAGGAGCAGTGCGATCCGACCAGGCCAGTATCATCTTACCACCGAAGGACCATCTGGGTACTATAAAGCAGCGCCTACATGGGACCCCGGCTACATGAAACCTGTACATGCGCATTGTAATTGCGCTTCTGGTAAGCAGGCAATTTATCTATTCCTGGGATTGGATTACACCTATACTCTCTGCGAGTCCCCCACCATTGAACTGTTTATCATTTTTAACATTCTTATATCTGACGATCGTATATATGTTAATTGCTATTTGGACATTGTTTGTTTGTAGCGCTGCACTTATATTGTTTCTATTTTGGTTGGAAGGGCTTGTAGTTCCTTTTTGTGCATTTGCCGCTCACTGGAGTGCGCTCACTTTTTCTTATTATACATATGATATACTAAAAGAATAATACAATTCTTAACTTTTCAATACAAATATTTGTATAATTGTTTTTTCATTAATTAGGTTCTAATCAAGCAAAGGACATGCATGCAAATGCTATAAGAGTAACCTAAAGTGGTTGTAAAGGCTGAATGTTTTTTACCTTCATGCATTCTATGCATGAAGGTAAAAATTCTTCTGTGTGCTGCTCCCCCCACAGCCCCTCTTAATACTTGCCTAGACCCAGGGGTGGACTGACCATTTGAGCACTTGGGCACTGCCCGAGGGCCTGGGGTCAGTAGGGGGCCCTATGAAATGCCCCTGGTACCTTTTATAGGCTTTTTTGGGTGTGCTTTGAGTGTGGGCAAGGACACAGGGGCCCCATAACCTGGGGGCCCCATGCGTTGTCAGTCCGCCCCTGCCTAGACCAGATCTTTATCCAGCGCTGTACATGGGAGCATCCGCTCTCTTGGGTCTCTCTCTACCAATTGGCTGAGACACAGCAGTATGGAGCGAATGGGGGAGGGGGGAGCTGAGCCGCTTATAGAAACACAGAGCAGGGCTCAGGAGGGAGTATGCATCAGCGCCTCCAGAGCAAGTGGCTTGCTCTGGGCGCACTCAACAGGGGGGAGAGGCCAGGAGCGCCGGTGGCGACCCAAGAAGAGGAAGATCTGGGCTACTCTGTGCAAAACCACTGCCCAGAGCAGGTAAGTACAACATATTTGTTATTTTAAAAAACCCAAGCCTTTAATATTGCTTTAAATAATGACAAAGTATTTAATTTCTTACTGCAGAATTTTTGGTAGATATGTTTCAATTGTATTTCTAAATTATTTGTGCAGCTTTACCAATCTCTGGCTATTAATATGGCTCAAAAGCTGGATAAACTTAAAAAATACAAAAGCCATCTCCTGCCAAGAATAATCAGTTCATAGCATACAAATCAAGATTTGACTCTTGGTGTGGCCGTGTTGAATTGGGTAGGGAGATGGAAAGTATTATTGCTTAAGTAGACATGCAGGTTAAAAACTTTAAAGAGCATTTAATATTTTATTTCATCAAAACCTTTTTGTAATTATTTGCAATTCACTATTAAAGTGTTTCCAAATGTCACAGAATTGTTAAATGTTTTACCTTGTTTGCACAGAACTGGATTATAATTAATTCTGTGGTATAAAAAGAAAAACACAACAGTAGCTGTAATGGAAGTTATTTGCCAGGGAAATGTAAATTTATGTACTTTATAAAAGTGTGACTCTCATGAGAAGGCACAGATGATCAAATAAATATACTTAGTAAGATGCACTTGGGTTTAAGACTGGTAAAAAATCTAGGAAAGTCAAATAAATACAAAGAGGAAGACTTGTGGGTTTACATAAACATTTGTGTTGCCTAAAATGGTTTCACTGTGCTTGTTTGTTAGAATAGCAATTCAACTGTACAGTGCCTTAGGTTCACATCAGAAATCGTAGCTGTTTACCTAGATCTGGGAACCACTTTGCAAACCTCCATAGGAGGGCTGCCCCTCAGGCTGCAGTTCAGAAGAACAGATTTCATTTTGGTAAATTTAATTAACTCTCACACCACTTGAAAAGTATCCTTCCCTATGTGGATAATTCATCCATTTTACAGATAAACAATGACTATTGCAGAGTTCAGAGATCCTGTACCTGTGGTACTGCTAGCATGGCCCCATTAATCCTATTTCCTGTAGTTGCTCTTTCAAATCCTGATTGCAATTGTGATTATGATCCAGATTGACTCATCCCCACTAGCTTCAATTGGACATGTATGATCATAAGAATTTAAAAATGTTGCATTTGGGATAACTGACACACATTACCTGCACAGATCTTGGAGATTAAATGCTTTTGCATGGCAAAAAGAGCCTCAGTCTGTTGTACAAAAAAATGGTCTCATGGACTTCAGTGGCTGTATTCTGAAGCTATGACCTCCACTGGACTAATTTCCTATCCAAGGGTTCTTGTGACTTCTTTCTAACTGAAACACTGCATCACATTGTAAAGCACATTGTCCACTGTAAGCATTTAAAGGTTAACCTTTGTCAGAATAAATCAGTCCAAGATGATGAGTTTCGGGCATCCCTGCCTGATTAAAAAATACATGAATTCACAATCACCTTTAGCGACATATACCACCCCAAATAAATAGTTGTGCTTTCTATAGCCACAGTATCTGCTATATCCAAAGAACAAAGGAATTATCGCTCAGGCAAACAATCCACATCAAACCAAGACAGGTGCAGACCCTGGCTCACCACCATACATAATGCAAAGGACGAAAGGTTGGCCGCACACAGGAGGAATGATGAAATGTTATTATTATTATTATTATACAGGATTTATATAGTGCCAACAGATTGCACTATATTACAATATAACGGGAGACAATGCAGTAACAATACAGTTCATTACAAGAGGGTTAGGAGGGCCCTGCTCCTTGGAGCTTACAATGTAAGAGGGAGGGGCTAGTGGTACAAAAGGTAATAACTGTAGGGCATGAACTGATAGGAGGAGTAGAAGATTCCATTATTAGCTGAGGGCAGGATATGCTTCCAAGAAAAAATAGGTTTTTAGAGATCGCCTAAAAGTGAGCAGAGTAGGCAATAGTCTGATAAATTGGGGTAGAGAGTTCAAGAGGATGGGGGAAGCTCTGGAGAAGTCCTGGAGATGAGCATGGGAGGAGGAGACGAAGGAGCTAGAGAGCAGGAGGTCGTGCAAGGAGTGGAGAGTATGGTTTGGGTGATATATGGAGACAAGATTGGAGATGTAATTTGGGGCAGAGTTATAAATTACTTTATATGTTATTGTTAATGTTTTGAATTTTATCCATTGGGCAATGGGAAGCCATTGAAGGGATTGGCAAAGAGGGGTGGCAGATACGGAACAGTTTTAGTAAGGTGGATGAGTCTGGCAGCAGCATTCATGATAGACTGAAGAGGGGATAGCCTGCGATGAGGTAGGCCAATGGGGAGGGAGTTACAGTAGTCAAGGCAAGAGATAACCAGGGAGTGAATAAGCTGCTTAGTAGTTTCCGAGGTTAAAAACGAATGTAACAATAGATTTATTGATCCATAAAATACAAATAGCACCAGACCATATGCAGAGCTGTTAACATGTTTCACATGATCACATGGTTAATCATAACTGCGTATGTCCTGGTGCTATTTGTATTTTATGGATCAATAAATCTATTGCTACATTTCATCATTCCTCCAGTGTGCGGCCAACCCTTCTTCCTTTGCTCAGTATCTGCTGCTTGTTCTACCTCTACCCTGTAGAGCCCCTCAAGAAAAAAAAAACTGCCAGATCATTACGTATCTCCAATAATACTCCTTAAATAAATAAAACTGGCAAACAACATTAATTTACACCACTGCTTGTAGCAAAATACGGTTTGCCTTGAAGTATTTTCAATTGAGAACCTTTTAACCAGTTCCCGACTGGCCGTTGCATATAAACGGCCGGACGGTGGCAGTGCAGGGTCGGGTGGCCGTCTATAAACGGCCTCCCCGCGCCCTGCTTGTGCGCGCTCCCTGGGAGCGCGCAGCACCGCGATCCGGTGCCCGCTGTGTCCTCCGGACACAGTGAAACACCGATCGTCGGACGGGACCTCTGTACGAGGTCCCGATCATGTGATCACTGATTGGCCAATCAGTGATCACATGCAAAGTAGTAAGCAAGATGTCACTTGTGACATCATTGCTTACTACGTGTGAAATCTGTGAATGATCACAGAGGTCACATGGTACAAGCCTATTCACAACAGGCTTGTACCATGTGACAAGCTGTGACCAATCACAGCTCAGTCAGTACTTCTCAATGAGTGCATGAATGCACACAGAGAGAAAGAGAAATGATTGCTTTTACATCCTATATGGGTGTAAAAGCAATGTGTAAAAAAAAAAAAAAAAAATCTTCATCACCCCCCACAAATAGTACAGTGTCACCATGGTGACACTGTACTGCTAGGGTGACAGTATGTAAAAAAAAAAAAAAAATAAAAAATAATAATATAAAAAAAATAAAATAAAAATGTAAAAAAAAATGTTTAAAAATTATAATTTTTGTTAAACTAATTTGGATTTTTTTTTATTTTTACTAAAAAGATAACGGAATAAATTTTAGCAAAGATTTATGATGAAATATTATTTATTTGCAAAATTTTATAAAAAAAACACTTTTTTTCAAAATTTTTGGACTTTTTCATTTACATAGCAAAAAAAATAAAAATCCCAGCGGTGAATGAATACCACCAAAATAAAGCTTTATCTGTCTCAAAAAAATATTAAAAAATTCATTTGGGTACAGCGTTGCATGACCGCGTAATTGTCATTCAAAGCGTGATAGCACTGAAAGCTGAAAATTGCCCTGGACAGGAAGGGGGTAAAAGTGTCCGGTCTTGAAGTGGTTAAAGATCTGTTAATGGTGAGATTTGTCTAAAAACATTTTTTCTGATTCTCCATTAAACATATAGAACTCTATGCCTTACTTTTTCTCACCTTATAAAAGACCATAGCAGGAATTTTGTTGCAACCGTATTTGACAAATTATGAACACAGAGGATTTTAACCCCTTGAGGCTGACGTCACACAAATATGCTGCCTCACAGAACTGGGCTTTTTTCCATGGAGACACACATTTGCGTACCTGTCTTTGTGCTGAGAGCGTGCCACACAGCGAACTCCAAGAACAAAGACCAAGGTGTGACTGAGAGCCCCAGGTCCCGTTCTAATGATCGGGACCCTGGACTCCCAATTCCGGGTCACATGATCACTGTGAAAGTCTCTGATTGGCTATCACAGTGATCAGTCACTGTGAAGCCCCCGCCCCCCTTGGTTTTTTTTCTCTGTGAATGGAGGAGAGAGATACATTGTATCTCTCTCTCTCCTTCCATAGAGAAAAACAAGACAACTGTTTGTAAAATAAATAAATAATAAAAAAAAAGGTTCAAGGTTTGATCTAGTTCAGTGCCAGGGTTAGTGTTTGGGACAGGGTCAAAGGTCAGGATTTATTTTTTTAAATTTGGTAGTGTCAGTGTCAATGTGTTTTAGGTAAAAAAAAACCAAAAAAAAACAAAATTTACAGTATTGTTTCTGGGCTATAGTACAGGTACAAACAACAAATAACATACACATATATGGTATAACTGCGATCGTCAAGAGCTGGAAATTTGATTTTGCGTTGTTCTTTGGTGATAGGATATGGTAGTAACAAGAAACACATAGCTAAATTAAAAAAAATGTTTTTTTTTACTATTTTGGGCCAGTTTTCCTTTGATAGAAAAAAAAAATTAAGGGGATATCTATTACCATTTACCACCAAATGAAAACCCAATTTGTTCTGAAAAAAACAAGGTATAATCCACCTGGATGTACAAAGTAGTTGTGATGATATGTACGGTTTTACTAACACATGTCAAAGTTGTAAAATTTTACTTAGGCTTTAAGATTTGTTGTACCCTTAGGAGTGAATGGTTTAAGAAGTTTATCTAAATTTAATTATTATTTGTGTGCAATAATACAATACCCTGAGCATTGCACTGTTGTGTACAATCTGTATTTTTTAATAACAATTACATTTTTAGGCTTGCAATATTTGCAATTTTGGTTTTGTAATATCTACCATTCATGCTTTCTGTTCATAAAGGTGAATCCTTTTGTTTATTGGAAGTGGACGTTAATAAACAATATGTATTTCTGTGTACACAGAGATGTTTGATTCATTGATACTGTGTCACTTTACTTGTTTATGGAATTGTGGCTGCAGAAGCCCTTAAGCTGATAAATTATACCACATAGTTAAAAATTCTTTTGCTGCCAGAAACATGCCACATGATGAATGTAATTCTTAACTCTCAGGGTCAGATACTGATGCACTTGTTTGAGGTGTCAGAATACAGCAAACTCCTAATTAAAGGTTTATCTCTGTTTGGCTACAGTTAATGTAAACTTTATACACAATGGCTTGATAAAATAGAATTAAAAGTTGGACTCCAGTGCAAGAAGAATGAAAAATGAATGTAAATCTAGCTGTGGATTATGCAGATCCTGGCTATTTATAGTGTTGAATCTCTACAAACTTTCACACGGTTCACAGATGTGGGCAGCTGTTAGGCTCAGCATTTTGTACTCATAAGTTCAAGGAGTCGTGTTGATGTTGAAGTTAAGTCCACTTTCTGCAGACAAGTTTTGTTTAGAAAGACACCTCCGTGAGTCACAAACCCTCAAACGCGTCAGACCTCGTCAGAATGGTTAATCAATGTACTTTTTCCATTTTGACACTCACTTATCTTATTTGGCAACCTCTCAAACAACAAGCTGTTCCACTCCTTGTAATACGTTTATCTTCTTCAATGATGTCAGCAGACCTAAGTAAATCTAATATTCGTGTGGACTTAGATTGGCTGGCATTCTTTGATTGTGAGTCTGAATTCAATATCACCACGCCAGCTGCTTCCTTTTGATAGAAGTATCAGGCTCCACTTAGTGTGTTTTTCTCTTTCCAAATATATTGCCCTTTCAGTTTTTTTTTTATTTCTGGATTTTTTTTTACAATTACTTTAGCTGATTAGTTTCCATTTCTTTTTCTTTCATGTGGTATTTGTAGCAGGGCTGATAGTTGTGGGCACATGCCAGGGTTCAAAGTCATATAGTCAATAATACATTTTGTATCACTATATAATTTATATCACTCCTCCTTACTGGGCTGTGGTAAGCTAGGAAATTTCTCTGAGTCAAATAATATTTAATGATATGCCAACTGCAAAACTGTTTGGCCTTGGACCCTTTTGTGTCTGGGCACCCCTGGTGCAAACACCATGCTGGTGCCCACTCTCACTGCCCCCACACTAAAGTCCAGGAGAAATATCACTGATAATTTCATCCTTAGCCTGATAGCTTTATTGAACTCAGCCCATTTAGGGCCATCTTTTCTGATATGTTTAAGCTGGATGAATTGCAATCTCTGCGATTATGATCCCTCATATTCTTCTTTTTCTCTTATGGTAGGTCTCACACAATAACATATGGCTGCATGACAATCTGAGCTCACAGGCATCTTATGATTATTGGCCCAGCACCAGGGTGATATTTTCAGTGGGGTGCCCATGCTTTTTTAGTGCTTTTGTGTTTTCTGTCATTGGCCTTATGGTGATAGGCATATGGTGAATGCCTGATACGCTGGGCTGGAATGTCTGATGTGGGAATGCATACTTTTTTTGTTATGAAAAATAAAAAAAAGGAAAAAAGGGAAGGATAAAATGGTTCATAAAAAAAATTAAATTTATATATATATATATATATATATATATATATATATGCTTCTCTTAACAGTAACCATTTATGATATAAATATTAAAGGATGCTATGGTTGACCTCATCTTCTTAAAATGCTAGCAATTTGGCTGTCATGCTAGCCTTTTTGTATTAAAGTGGTTGTTACCCTCAGACATGAAATATAAGGAAAGCATATCCTTCTATATTGCGTACTGTTCTCAATTAAGTGTACTGTCATTTCTGTCTGCTACTTCATTTCTTTGCTATCAGCATGAAATACTTCTGAAAAGTTTTTTCTGACACCAAGAGAGAAAAAATGGTGACTTTGATTTTTCAGCATCAGCTCTGTTCCTGTGAGCTATGTGTGTCTCTGCTCTCCAATCAGCTCTCAGAGCTCACCTCACTGAGCTCTGCAGAGTGTGACCTCAGCTCTCCACCCTTTTTTTCTGAACTCTCAGACAAGCTTTATATTTCTGTGCTTTGAAGTGATGTAGAAAAGAGAAAACTGCAGATAAACAGGTATAATTTATGTAAGAGTATTTTTTTCAGCTCCTATAAGGGTTACCCCCTTATAGGGGATACTGGTCCCTCCTAGGGGATTAACCCCCCTCCCCCCTTTTTACATATTCCCCGGAGCCCACCTTCCCCTGAGCCCCGGAGCCTGACCCCACTTTTCTCTATCTCGTTTTTAAGCTTAACTGTTCACCTTTTTCACACGTGCTCCCTGGATACATCCTTGATGGCAGTGCCCATCCACTCTACTCCGTTACACCCAAACATGTACACCTGAACTACCAGCTTATCTTGATGTACAGGTTTGCGAAGTTCCTTTTTTTACTTACTTAACCCTATACACCATGTTACTGTACTGGACAATGTTTATTCTCCTTTTATTGTACTCTGACTGTGAATAGTTCTCATTTTCTCTTGCATTTGACCATGTTCCTGTAATATTTTCTGTAAAGCTCTTCAATAAAAAAAATTGAACAAGGAGTATTTGTTTCATCTCTGTGTATCACCTGAAACCAGTCACTTCACTGGGCCAAGAAGATGTCTTTTGATGATGAAAAGCGTCAGTTGGAGCCACGTACTGACATCATCGCCTTCTTTTGCCTTACATGACAAATACCACATTGGGAGGATCTTTTGATGTCCATTAGCGGTACCACTGTTTAATATCGAGGCTGTGGTAGGAGCATTATTATTACTAGATGGTCAGTGTGAGCATGTAAGCGTACATCTCATTACAACTTTTGGGTGGAGGTGTTTGGTATTGGCACTCTACGTTACTCAGATGGATTGATTTTCCCACATATTTGCACTGGTCAATATTTGGATGAGACTCTTTCTTTTTTCACACTGACTTTTCCTTTCTATTTGGATTACGTTTTATTCACATTGTAATGATTTATGTGACTATTGGAGTATGTGATGTTCATATAATTCGAACACTGATATTATTCATTTAGGTTTAGAAAGACACATTTATTTATATAAATGCCAAAATGTCACTATTTATATCAGGGTTTACAAACTTTGGGCACACATGTAATTTATACACATCCTAACTATGAAATTTTATTAAAAAGAAAATACAGATAATACACCAACTTACACTTGGCATGCTTGCTAGTTCTTGCAATGAACATTCTTACACTTAGTGATGAATAAATGGACAATTATAACACCTTGGTCAATTTGTTACTGACAATTTATTACTGAATTATAACATGCTCAAAATTGCAGCTTATAATTTTGATTTATTTTCGAAAGTGTCTGCACAGGGAACAGATATGGAGGGTTATGGGAACAATGAGCAAATTAAAGTGAAATTAAAGCTTCTGTTTCTTTTTAAATTCAAATAATAAACAGATTATACTTACCTGCTCCGTGAAATGGTTTTGCACAGAGCAGCCTCAATACTCCTCTTTTCGGGTCTTGTGCTCCTGGTTCCCAGCAGCTTTCCATGGGAGCACTCCTGCAGGCTCACTCCAAAGACTCCCTGTCTGCATCTATTGATGCAGACAGCGGGGATTGGCTTTGTCCCTACTCCTTTGTCACTGGATTTGATTGACATGAGTGGGAGCCAATGGCTCCCGCTGACATCAATCAGCCCAGTGAGGAGGGTCAGGGGCAAGAGAGCCACAACTTAATCAACTTTGGGCTCAGGAGGGCGAGGGGGGAGTTTGTGACACAAAAGCCTTGTTGCCTAAATGCATAGAATGCATTACAAGTAAAAAACCTTGAGGGTTTAGAACCACTTTAATTTTATATAATGTTAAAGGTGATAAGTAAAGGTTGAATTTAGTTGAAAATGCAATGTTGTCATCTGGAATTTTCAACTCTCCCCCTGCAGCAGCTTTTAAAAAGACTTTAATTACTAGGGTCATTTAACTTTTCATACCATCTATTTCATGAGCTGGGTGTATAAAAGTAATAAGAGTAATAAAAATGAAGTGGACAAACAACAAAAGAACATTTATAGCATGGGGAAACCTTAAGTATTTTCCTTAAAATGAAAAAAAAATTAAACTTACTTGCTCAGTGCCCCTTACCTCCACTTCTGGTGCCCCCAATATCATCTCTCTGCTCCTCCTTTTCTCTGAATGCCCCCATAGCAAGCCATTTGTTATAGGGGCACTCATGTGGGCAAGTCCCAGAGTGCGTCCATTGACATACACAACATGGCACAGCCCTGCCCCTTATCACAGGATTTTATTGACAGCAGCAGGAGCCATTGGCTCCTTCTGCCATCAGAGCCTGTGAACACCAGAACTCTTGGCAGGAGAAAAGCTGCTTAAAAATGTGCCTAAAACTATGTACTGCACATGCCTTTAGGCTTGTCAAATGTTTGAGCTTTAATGGATTCCATTGGACAGAATATTAATTTATTCTAGTCATTGTAAGGCATTATCACTTAAATGCTCAAATGCACCTAAATGCATCTAGTATTTAGGAGCATTTAGATGCATTTACATGCATTTTGGCAAATTCAAAGTTTTTTTCTGCTCTTCAGCTCCTTTCCTGAATACATTTTTTTTTTTTTTTTTAGCCTGTAGACGATCCTCTTCTAATACACCTGTAAATACCTATGTGTGCATGGAGACAGACAGAAGCTAGTACAGAGGTGCTTTTACAGGCTGAAAAAAAATGTCAAATGCCTGTGAAAGTTTTTTAAGTCCATCGTCTTAGTGTTCCTGCTGACAAAAAGTGGA